AACAAAAATTATTTTAACAAAAAAAACCCAAATTTGGGATCGAAACGTTTGTTAAAATAGTTTTTCCAAATAAAGAAGTTTGTTGATCCGAAGATCTGGTTTTTGCCTCGTATTTGCCACTTTCTTCTCATTGTAAAGTTAGAATTTGTCTGATTTTGTATATGTTTTTATAAGTTGATTTAATTTAACAGTTTCTAATATTTATTTTTTTGTTCTTATGCTGAAGTTTTCTTATGCTCGCACATCTAGTAAAATTGTCGTATCATTAATCGATGTAATAATTCTGTTTTCTTTCCGCATGTACGTAAACCGCAGATTTCTACATCGAGAGTTGTGTTGAATATTAAAATAAAGTGTCACGTATTTAACTTGCGCAGTAATTAAGCGCACACAATGTACTGTAACAGAATTCCCGCTGTTCGTTCGAAATATTGCAAACGCCAAGGTGTTGAGTAAATTGTAGGACGCGTTGTACAAATATAAAATTGCAATACACATCGCGCTACACGCGGTTCGAAAATATTTTGATGCCTGTTACAAAATTATCTGGGCGCGATAAACGATGATTAATATCGCAAAAATTTTGTGAAAAAGCGCATAGTGGTGAAGCATGTCGACATCACGACCAACCGTCCATGTTTTCATTATGTACATTTGATGTTTGCGTAATTGCTTTTGCTTTATTACTCCACGGAGTATCGTATTTCGATTACTACTGGTAACACAATTTTCGACAATCGTTGATGTTTCGCACATGAAATTTCAGCTTGGCGTCTGCCGGCATATCATTTCACCAACCACGAATATCATTAATGTTCATTTCGTGTTCTTTGGTTGATGTGTAACAATAAGTGAGAAACATTATCTAGAAGTAATGCACATCCAGCTTTCTTATAGAAACTGCTGCAATAAGAAGAGAGAATTTATCATGATAAATTACGAGGAGAAAAGATGAAGACATTTGATAATAGAAAATATTGAATTGTTCCAAAAGTATGTGACGTTTTTTTTAAATAAAATTTAAAATTCTTATCGTACCGACTCACATAATTTAGCTTTTGTAAGTGTTTATACACGGCACTGTTTTTTAATATCTATACATTGTATCAGACATGTTGCCATCTGTGAAATCTGACTACCTATTGAAAAATAGAGGTACAAACAAATTTTTTGAATATTCCAACATTCCAAGTCAAACTCTTCAATTTATCGCTTAAAACTGTGAGAACATAGAATTAGCAGAATATTTGTGCATTTGTGCTGAAAAAATTTATCAAGTCAAATTGCGGAAAAACAATGGAAATTCGCTTCTGTGTACAAGAAACTTCTAATGCTGAAACCTACAAACAATTGTCACATCCGCAACGAAGAATGGCGTATGAAGAATCCGAGACAGATCAATGCCAGGTAAAAACGACCGAATTGCAGAGATGAGGCAAACTCGTGAGATAGCAGAGAGCTCATAAATAAAAGATATTACGGGGAAACAGAAGGAAAAGAAAAGAGGGAGCGGAGAAGAAGGGAGAAGAGACGCGAACAATTATTCTCGCATGGAACGACATGTACTTCTTGTGTAATCGAATACATTACACCGGTACATTACACGATGTGCGCTTACACCTCGTGAGATTCCACTTAACCCAGACCGCCTCGCGCGCGCGCGCAGCGTCTTTTTCCACTGATGGCAAAAACCCGGTGCGCGAGTTAAGAGGAAGAGACGATACTACCGAACGAGTACATATTGCGCGGCGAGAATTATTCTATGCAAATCGCATTATTCCCGCCTCACCGCATTACAACCGACTGTAATGTATTCCGGAGGGAGATTTATGCAGCTTTGTGGAATAATACCTGACTTAACACATTACTGCGGGGAGTTGGGCGCGACAACAAGAACGACAAGACATGAGAGTATGATTGGTTGTTTTTACTTCAAACTGTGTTTGATTTGTAAGAAGCTTCACTTCAAATGCGGAACTCTTCGGAATAAATGCTATTCCGAGTTTATTGTAAATATTGATATTTTTTATAGTAAATCTAAGATTAAAATATATCTAAAAAGACTTGACGCTCGTGAAATTGTTAACAGGAATCAAATAAGGCCGATACGAGCCATTCGCAGGATGTTTGTGCGGAAACTATGCGTGTACAAATATATATATATA